TCTTTTCGGTGTAGAGATCTCAGCTGGCATCTATTTTTTGTATTATTACAATAATATTCAGTCATCTTTGCAAGCAGTAGGCAGGCAATCTTCATGTTGAGCCCAGCTTTGTGATTTAACGGCTGTGACAAATACCATTGTCTTTCACTGGTAGCTGAGCATTTTGCACCTGGAGGTGCTGTTCCATTATAATTCCAGTAAGAAAGGCGCTCAGAGTACGTAAAGTATAATTTAAAGTGCTATTTATTAGGGCTAGCACTGTAAAGGAAGAGAGGATAGTATAGATAATCATACATCCCTTCAGATGCTGGGAACTCCCAAGTTGTGCAGCATCAAACAGGCATCTGATCCGGCCACAGCATACCATGCAGACCCTGTCCATGGAACGGTTGCCTCGTTTTGGTCTTCATTTTATGATTTTCTCACAAGAAAGCAACTTCATTCAGCATTTCTACTGTTCAACAGAAAGAATGTTCACATGAGAACTTCTTGCTGCACTTTTAGGTAAAGGCAAGGAGTCACAGATGGCATAATCACCAGTAGCAAGTGGGAGCTGCCTACAGTCTCTCTGTTACAGTTCTCCTGGCTATGTTTATCCTGTGGCTAAGAGATATTCACAGCACAACACAGGCCTGAAGGCTAAACTGTATGTGCAGCACAGCATGGGCTTGGGCCTAGTCAGGTGAGTCACATTCCTTGATGTGCAGTGATCAGGATTGTTACACTGAGATATGTGGCACTATCTCCATTCCTCATTCTGCAGATGAATTTGCAACATAATTGACAAAAGAAACCAGTTTACAGGGATTATCTTACACTAAATATACCCCAACCCAATTAGATTCAGCTGCTCACAGTGTTTCATAAAACCAGTTGTAAAACTCCAGGATTATTTCCCATTACTGATAATTTTTAGTAAATGAAGAAAGTGCTTCATTCCAAAAGCACTCCTGCTTTAAGGTCAAGAGCAAGTTTATTCATAAGTTAGACTCTCATCAGATCTGGACAGATCCTGTCACATTTCTAGATACCCTTTCCTGAGGCCGACCTGGGACTTCGATATCATTATTTTAGGATTTGTAGGACCAGCAGCAGTATGGCTATATAGTTGTCAGCAGCATGCAGCACCTGCCTGGCCAGTCTGGAGCAAGAGTGCTGCATCCTGCCAAGCCCATCTTGGTAACATTTTTGAGTGAACCTTGGTGGAAGTCCACGGAGTGGTTCTGTGCCAACAGCACGAATGACTAATTGAGATTAATGCTGTCGCAGCAGCAATTTGCCCATAGATGGCAGTATTTGCTGTTCTTTTGCAGTACTAACGGTATTTGCATTTACCGTATTTGTTCCATCACAGATGATTATGTTGTTTAGTAAGGCCATAAACTCCAACCAAAGCGACAGTTAGAGAAAAGTTACTGACTCGTCTACCTGGCTTTCTATGAAAACTAGGATGAAGTCTGATTGCATTAGTACAAGTTGTGAAAACGCAAGTTGGTACTTTTTAAAGTCAATTGTTCAAACCTGACAATGTTCTTGTAGCCAATAGCACCCATTTTCGCATGTGTGAATATTTTAAGGTATCTTGCCATTGAAGATGGAGAAATAGAGTACATGGAGCCATCAGCATGAAGCAGTCCTGAGTTCATGGAACCCAAGGAAGATGTTAAAGGAACGAATGGGAACACTGGTTTCCCAGTAGTCACACATGATTTTGTAACTTAATAGCTATGAGATGGTTGTCCTTGCCATTCTTGCTTTTAAATTGAGGTAAAATGTTAAATGTAAAAAACTTGGTGGCAGTCTCAATGGCAGTAAAAGAGCTACTTTCCCAGAGTGAGATAACAAAATGTGATGTTTCATGGACAGAGCTACTATCTGAACATAGAATATCAGTGACAAGATTTTGTGCTGCAGTATGAGTCTGAGGACTAGCAGATGTTTACTTGTTTTGAGTAATTGTTATGGCAGGCACTGCCTCCAACAAATGTGTCCTTTTTGTTTGCATTTGTACTGCAGCTTGTCCTGATTGGTGACTAGGTGGTAGGGTAACACAGTTTAGAAATATGAATAGTGATCTCAGTGCTGCTTTTGAAGTAAGCAGTGTGACCACAGGCACAGACTGAGGTTCTGTACCATAGTACATCTCTTGCATGTTAGAATGTGTGTAAGTTCCAGTCAGACCACTTCATATGCTAAATAATATCACAACAGAAATAGACCAGAGCAGTATGATCCTGTTCTCTGACTGAGAGAAGATACTTTTGTGTGTAGGCACAGAATTACAGCTTACATCACCTGAGTTTAGTTCCCAAGTTTCCAAAAACACCATAGACCTTGGACAAATCACCAACCCCTGCCTCACTTCCTATGACCAAAATGGGACAGTAGATCTTCCTTTCTTTCCAATTTAGCCTGACTTGTCAAGTAGTGTGAGCTTTCTAAGGAGTGGGTTATCTCTTGTTCCATATGAATGCATGTCAATGAGCCTTGACCCCCATGGGAGCTTTGCATGAATGAAGAACACAGAAGTGGGACTCTCATTTGACTCAAAGCTGGTTTGAGAGGCTCTGAGATTGTCTGTGGATGAAAGTTTCTTTGTTATATAACAGATTATGAAATATCTGGAAGGACAGTTCTGTTTTATCTCACTTTGCTAGCAGCCTTAGAGGACTAGATATGTGTAAAAGTGTTTGTCTCATCCAAAACAAAGTTCAGCCTGAGTGAGGATGTCGTTATGGGAATCATAACCATAGTATCTGTTGAAAAGCATTCAATTATTATATTCCTAAAGAATAAGAGCATGCGATATGGCAGAATGTCTCAGAGGTCAGTAATACCTGCTTTAGGGGAATGTACAAACAGTACCATCATCACAAGATCTACCTTTAGAGGAAGTTTAAATATAAGCCCCAATTAATAAAAGATTTTTTTCCCTAGAGCTCTTACTGGTTAGTAGTTAAGCATTGCAGCTGCTTTTTCATAAAAAGAAATTGGAATGAAACACAATTCCATGTTTTCAGAAATCTTTTTAATATCCTTGTAAAACAGGAAAAACTTTTGTCAAACAGCAAACACTTGCGTCAAACAGCTGCAAAGATGATGCACAAATATAAAGAAACAAATAATTCCTTGAGATTTTGTTCTAGATCCAGAATGCTTGTTCTAAACCACAGAGAAAACACCTTTGCATAAAGTACAGGAATGTTTTCACTGAGAAGCTCTTTAAAGTTGTTGTGGTACAAAAAGTGAATTGTGCATTCATGTGCAATCTAGTGCTTTCATTGCATAGTAGTACATATGCAGTAATTAAAATCAAAGTGAAAGGCCAAATACCAAATGAAGGTAACATAGTTATGGATGAAAATTTGGCTGACGACACTTGACAAAACTGTGCAAATAGTCTTTTATATACAACCCAGAGATAGTAAACGCAGAATGTATGGAGAGTAATGCTGCTGGAAAGGCTCAAATTCAATGAATTTAAGAGAAAATATAGAATTCTGTTTACGTTTATACCAATATAAGTCCAGGGTTACTCCACTGATCTCCATCAATATGTTTGAAATTAGCATCTGGCTTACATAATAAATCTCATTTCTATCTTTTTATGACTTCCAGCAGACTATCTGAGGGAAGAAAGAAAAAACAGCCCTTGGCCTTAATTATAATTGTATTACAGTGGCTTTTTCTGAAAGCCGTACTCTTAATTTGTATTTAATCCCTCTTTCTTTCTGAACCATAAACCTCTCATTCACAATGAAAATAAACAGCTATTTTATTGTCTTGTTTCTACTGCAGCTTTATATCGAAATGCTTCTTAATATTTTCTCCTTTTCTGAAATTAAAGAAGTTTTAAAAATATGTACAATTCAGTTAAATAAATGCCATTATAGTTTCCTATGTTTAAAACTTACTCTTCCAATGCACATCTAATTGCTTCGCTTCCATACATATTACCTTCTAGAAAGACTTAGAAGTAGTACTATAGAAATGGGTACAATCTTACAAACTCAAACAGCAGATTTCTGCTCAAATCCACTCAAACTCACACTAACAGAAACACTTTTTACAAGAGAAATAAACTGTACAGAGGGTTATTTACTCTAATTTAAAGATCTGATTGAGCCCTTCCTGAAACCAGTAGGACTTCCCATAGATTGTTCCAGGTCCTAGATAAGAATTAAAAGATAGTTAATCAATGAAAAGGATCAGGGGAAGATGAAATGTATGTGTATGCCACAATTCACACACAGTCATTTCATCAGCCTTAGTATTGCATTCCTTTTTACATAGATGCAGAATGAAAGAATACTGGTGCTATCTACAGCTGTTCATATTGCTGGGAAAAATTAACATTCCATCCAATTATTAGAATGTTCTTCCTGCTTTGAAGAGAACCGACTAGGGCTTAAAGGCATCCTATTTTTCTGTCAGTTTCTTCCTTTAAGATGTCTAATGATGGTGGTATAAGGAGCAGGAGTGATGATTGGGAATGGTTCTCCATTGTTCAAGCAACCAAAGGTAAAAAAATTTAGTCCTTCCACGCAAAAGCATAACTACTGTAGAAAATACAGAAGACAGGAGTGCACAACATAATGTAAGAGACAACTAATCTTCCACCAACACTGACAGAATCTTAGGTCTTTAGAGTTGCCCTCTGGACAGTAAAGCTAATTTGAAAGGCTGCTATCTTCTTGTCACACTCCCAAGATATTTTCCTAATGATGAATATGTTATTACACAGAACACACAAATTGTCCATGGCAATTTAACAGCAGTATTGAAGTGCTCGCTGGCTGTTTCTCCAAACTGTGGGCCAAGATTTAAGTGACTTCCTAGGACATGTTAAGCAAAGTTTTGAAATGCCTTAGAAATCAGAGTAATCTAACAAAGCATGTAATATAAAACTTGTTTGTACTGGCTTGACATCTCTTTAAAGCAATTGCTGAGTGATCCCTGGAGTCCAAGGGGAATAGCAACAGGGAAGAGTCATATTGCAATCAGTAGGAATCCATTGCTTGAAGGTTCTGAAGGACTTCTAGCACAACTTCATAACAGAATAAATACTCGTCCTGTGTGCAGAGACACCAATGTGAAGCACTCAGTTACATTCAACATAAATTCTAGACACAGAAGGATGGACTGGATGAAGTGTTGTTTGTAACATCAGCATCTTTGTAATATAGATACAAAAATTTAGATGTTTAAGAGCATCCTTGTTCTTTTTGTTCCATCACTTGTAAAAGTTCAGGAATGCTTTCCTATTCAATGCAGTACCTGTAAGGATGTGCTCAAGTCTCATTCAGGTCAATGAAGGTTATCTATTTGCTTAATTTTAATCCCATGCTTAGTCATTGTCCTGAAGAAAAATATATTGAAGAATGTGCTAAAATATTTGCCTATAGGAAGAACTTATCCTAGTCTTGTCTTGCTTTTCTTCCCACCACCTGTTTGCGCTAAATTGAATTAGCCACTTCTTGTCTTTTCCTGTGTGAAAACTCTTTTGAGGGCTAGGTTTAATTCAGCAGTAGAAGGGTTTACTGAGGTGATGATAACTCAGCAATAGCAAGAATCCAGCTGAAGACTGCAGTTTTCCGGGGCAGAGTTTATAGTATCTCACTGGTTTTGTTATTTATCTGTGCTTTATTTTTGGCTAAAAAAAAAAGGGGGCTAGTATCTGTACTATATTGGTGCTTTGCTTTTATTTCAGTTAGTTAGTAAGTAAGGGACAGATCTTTCATATTTAAATCTAGACACCACTTGCCTGGAAGGCTGTTATTTTCCTCAAATGAGAAAATGGGGCTAAAACTATGCTTTAAGCCCCAGATTTATCAAAGCATGTGTATATGTACCACTAATTGAGGCTTTTAAAAATTATAATCTAGTTGAATATTGAGAACTTACCTTAGTTTGGATCATGCCAAAACGCTGATCTCTCAAATCTCTCACTATCTGCTTGATGTTGAACTGCCAGAAGAGAACAGTTTTCATTTTGTTGACATGCAAGTTATAAAGAAACATTTAAGCATGTTCAGATGGGGAAGCTGTGACTCAGTTCTTTTAAAAATAGTGTATTTGTAGTTGTTATCTTTGTTTATTCCATTTTGCTAGGATGAATTATACCAGGAATAACTCTGGTCTAAGATACCCCCGCATGTTGTTGACCTCCATATAAGTTTGTAATATTTAACGATGATCTGTTTGATACTTACACATAGATCTTTTTCTATATAGCTAAGCAGAACTTCAACACACAGCAGAACTCCACTTCTTCCAATGCCAGTGCTGCAGTGAGCAACAATAGGTCCAGTACTGTGAGCTTTTCTCATGTAACAAATAAATTTTACAAGCTGCTTAGCCAGTTTGGGAGTGTTGTGGTCTGGCCAAGTGGTAAACTGCAAATGACTTATAATGCGTTTCTCTTCTGTCTGGAAGAGAAAGATCAGAAATGTTAAAAATTCTCAGTTCTAAGACTGATTTTCAAGGAATTCCACTGATAAATTTTCCTTTAGCCTCATTCTTAGTCAGTTGTTTGTCTACCCTACAATTCTCCAGCTTTTCATACTTGACCCTATTAAGGTTCCTTTTAGGTTTTCAGAAATGCACTCAGGAGACACAGGCCTCGGAAATTTACTTCACATAATTTTGACAAGACACTGAAGTTACTCTGTTGTCCCAAAAGGATGTAGTTATCTTATTTGTTGTTTAGAACGGAAGAACAAAAACATTTGTTAAATTAGAACATTCCAGTACTGTTCACTAAAATTGTTGTTGTGACTGAACCAAGCCACACTAATAGAAGTGTAGTAACACGGTAGTCACAATACTAAAATCATAAATGATATTCTGGCTACAGATATAAAAGAACAATTTGTGATTAGATACCCTAACATTCAAACCAAATCAACTAAAAAAAATGCTTACAAGGTTAATCATAATGCAGATAAAATAAAAAGTATTAAATTGAATGGTCATGGGCAGTACTTCTTGTTGCCAGTCGCCAAAACACGTTAACCTGAATGCAAAAGAACTACCTGGATTTTTACCACCTGAAGAATCTGAATGCATGTCTGGATTTCTGCTGAAGTAAACCTGTGGCTTTCTGTAGTAATTTGATACTGGTCCAAGACAAACATAGCAAACATAATACGTTCCTTGAAACAATCACATACCCATGTTCTCATCTTAACAATCTTTTGGGAAGACTCATATCAAATGCTTTACCATGCTTCACACTCAGTGACATAAGGTGAATTGTGTTTTCTTCATATAGAGAAATTATTTTCTTGATGGAAAAAGACACCAAGTTAGTCTGGCACAAGTATGAATGTTTTAATTATTCTGTTAATTAATATGTCCTGGAGAAATTTTTGCAAAGCTTTATTTAATATTGAGGCAAGACTGATGGACTTATAGTTGCCCCGATTTCCATGTCCTTACACCAGGAATTTGTATTTGTTAAGTTTCTAAAGATTTGCTGCTAGATTTGTAGCTTTATGTGTATTTATGTCTTTTCATGAACGAAAGAAGTATAATGTGTTGTAAATTCTAGGATGAAAACCATCTTCTCTCCCTCTTTCCTTCCAGCTACCATTACAGAATATGAACCCACTCCCACAGCCCTTACTAATTTGATTTGATGAGAACAGTAAGCAATTCTGCAAAACACTGAACACACCAGCTCTGTGACTGTTAAAGGACTGATTTTTGGACGTTCTTGTCCAAATGTAGGTAATGTTGGATCCATTGCTTGTGCAATGAGCAAAGAAGAAGCATCTTATTAACCCTAATTTCGTGCCTATTACTCAGATTTTTACATTCCTAAAAAATACTGAGCAAATATTACAGCAGCAAACAAATAATACTAGTATTTACTCACGTGAAATATCTAATCAATTTCATCATATATGAAAGTGTTAAGTATACTCAACTTACCTGCTTGTTGATCATTTCTATTGTTCTAATTATGAAGTATTCCAGAATCTGGAAATTATCTAGCCTGAGATGGAAATTAGCCAGGTCTATAGAGTCATGGGGAGGTTCAGGCCAGTACCGATGACATTTGACTTGCCCTAGCTCCACTTCTTTTGTCATCATGGCAATCACATCTGATGCACTCTCCCAGATCATTTGCCAGAAATCAGCCATAGTGGATGGCAGAGGCCCTTGGGTTGTAATATAGAAATGTTCCTCTTCTCCAACTTGCATTCTAATGTAACTTGCGTTTATGTAGCCATTCTTTTCCCCCAGAGGAACTCGTGTCTTGTCATCTGTACAGAAACAGAAAGTTGCTATTTCAGCTAGATCTGAAGCAGAGTTCTACCATCTCTAGCAGTCAGGAGATGGAGAACCTCAGCCTCTAGCAGCAAAGTATGCCTCTGGATTTTAGAATACATTTGGCTAGCACCACTAATATTAATCACTGCTAAAAGGAATTCCCACAGATAAATTGTATGGTTCACTGCAGCTTTATTTCTCTTAAGATACTTGTGTAACACTCTGACAAGCCTTCTAATTACTGTAGAATTGTTTGGCAGTAATTGAAAATAGTGTATCCAACACTGCTTTTAATGTATGGCATGGGAACATTGTCGCTGGGTATTATAAAACAGGAAGCTTCTGAGCGTGTATACTGTGTCACTGTGCATGTTTGTCCTGCTGCCACAGTTTAGAAAGATATCAAGGGTCCAGAAAGTGTTCTCCTTCTGTCATGACACCTCTTGTGGAATCATTGGACAGTACATTATTTTTCAGAAATCCTTGTTAACAGCAGTCATTCACCTGTTGAACTCAAATCTTCCTTCTAAAATGACTTCTCATTATGATGAAACTTGTTTCTGACTCAGATCAGAGCTGAGCAGCTTAAAGCTCTGGTTTGATATTATGCTTTCAAATACTTCTGAAAAGAAACTTTGTCTTTCCAAGAGCCAAAAGGACTGAGGGTTGAGGCAAGAACAGAGGGAGCACCCACCAACCATGGTCCTGGGCAAAACAGGCAGCGCTTTTCTCAAAGCAAAACAGTTTATTAATGATTACTTAGAAGGACAAAGGGAAATAAAAACCGATTACTTGAGAGGACAGAAAGAAACAAAACCAGATCTTAAAACCGACACCTTCCCCCCCCCCACCTTCCTTTTCCTCCCGGCTCTACCTCCTCCCCCCAGCAGCACAGGGGGCAGGGACTGGGGGAGTGCAGGTCAGTTCATTCCGTGCTGTTACTGCTGCTTCTTTCTTAAAGGAGAAGGAGTCCTTACACCCTTTTCCCCTGCTCCAATGGATCCCCTACCCACGAGGAAAAATCCACAAATTTCTCCAACGTGAGTCCGGCCCACTGGAAACAATCCTTCCTGGTTTGATATTATGCTTTCAAATACTTCTGAAAAGAAACTTTGTCTTTCCAAGAGCTACATAACTCCATGATTTCCACTGTGTTTTTTAGAATTCCACCGTGTCACAAGCAGTAGATGTAGCTGTACATTTAAACAGATTTAAAGAACTATTATAATTCAAGTTACACTTGCCCACAGAAACGTAGATAAATATCTCTGAGAAAGAGGGAAGGAAATACCAAGACAGCTGCCTCCCGTACCAGACCAAGTCCTGCCTTGTGGAAGATGATACTTCAAAAAATTACATATTGTGCAACACAGACACCCTTACGTGAACTCTACCTCTTTTCGAAAAATTTTATCACATTTCATCAATAGTGGAGCTCTCTATGTCTAAGGATGTGGTGGGATTAGCCTGCTATATCTCAGTGTTGTAGTTATCTTTCTGTTTTCTAATGTCTTTGTTCACTGAATGTATGTTCTCAGTAGCATGCATACTTACATGGAAGAATATCTCGGTATCTGTTTTTATCCTGGTTTTCTGGTGCTTTGCCAGTTCTGCAGTCATCTATTGGTTTCACATGTTCTAAAGCCTAGATCAAAGAGAAATAGTCAATCCATGTTGTTCACGTCATTTATAGACATTTTTAAAGAGTCAGTGTGAGCAAACTTTACTGCTAATGTGACCCAAGACTGGCAAATAAATTTCTTACAGAAGACAATCAGTGCATCATTCGCTAAACTAACCATTCTCTAAATTCATCTAGACAAGGAATTCAAGTTGCTTTGTATTTTCTGCACAAAATTTCTGGGGTTTTCAAGTGATATTTCCAACCCACATGCTCAGCCCTTGTCGTTACAGATCCCTGCTGTATATTGCTGTAAAATAGATGTTTGGAATAGTGTCTTGGCCAAATATTGGCATTCATAATTGATAACATACTGACTGAAGTATCAACTACTGCACTGTTAACAAGTAGTGAATGTCAGTGAATGCTCTTCAGTGACAGAGAAAGTGATGGATATAGGGAACAGCATCAATTATGTCAAGTGCAAATCATGGTCAGTAAGTACTTCATAGCAGATTTAAGGGAACCGAATGCAGTGTAGCTGGAAGCAGGAATATGCAAGTTAATTTCATTTACAGTTTTGAGTTACCTTCAGTTTTCTTTATTCTTTTACCTCTTTGATACGCATTGCACAATGCTCACTCATCACATCATGTCACTATACAGTGTATACATGTGACAGTTCTTTAACATCTTTGTCAGTTACTACAGCTTTTATTCAGATAGAATATCCATTGGCTTTGGTAACCAGTGCTTTCCCTATTAGATCTTTATGTTTTCTGAGCAGATGCATGACTCAGCTCATAGTATGCTATGCCTACATCAGTAAAGGAATGGAATGAATGGAAATTAAAACATGCCCTTGAGCCTTCTGAGAAAGTCAGCAAATCGTATACATTTGAGCCTGTGGGATTTTGTGCCCAGAAAATCAGAGATATAAAGGCAAGTGAAAGAAACTGATAACATTGTAATTACTATGGAAAAGTGGAAGCAATCTATTTCACTGGTAATGAGTACATTCTTTAAAGGAAATTACAGTACTGTGTTGAAGAGGTGTGAAATAATCGGTTCTTTGGGAATTTGCTCATAACCAGGTACTCTATTTGTATCCTGAAACACGAGATTTTATATGCTTTCCCAATTTTAAACTTTTTCATGATTTATATGCCATCAGATGTTACTATGTGTTTTCATTATCTATGGAGGTATGTTACTTTTTTTTTTTAATTTCAGGAAGTTCCTGACCTTAACAGTATCTTGTGGCAATAAGTTTCATGGGTCACTGGAGCATTGCGTGAAACGTTTTTGTTTCATCAACTAAGTGTTTCAACACTAGTGAATCCCTAGCAGCATGGATTTCTTCCTTTAATGCAGCCTTTAGAATAGTTCTTAGGCAGATGTTCAGCAGAGCTGAAGGGGTAATAGGAAGAATTTGGTCTGGGAAAAAGTGATTCATGCTCTACTTTTGTGTATTATTTATTTTTCATTCTGTGTGGGCAGTATCTTTGGACAGGGAACAGTGTAAGCCTGACCTGGATGGAAAGAAAGAGATCCAAATAGTGTAGCATCACCCAAACAGCAGAGTAGAAGCCCCATTCTGGCTGGAATAATCCTCTGAAAAGGTGGAGTCAGTAAAGATATACAAGTGGATCTCCCATATAGTATGCAGAAGTCTGCCAAAAGTCACTTTCTTAGCTCTGCTAAACAGTCAGATTTAAAGAGGAATCACACTTTACCATAAACTCCTTTAACACCTCTTGATTCTCAATCCGCAACTGAAGGCCTTGAATAAGACCTGTGATGCCAGTCCTTGGACCTACTCCAGTCAGTGATGGTTTAAAGTTAATTAACTGAGTCAGTTCATCTCCAGAAGCAAAGGTTCTGCCTATGTATCAACAAAAAAAAAAAAAAAAAAAAAGGAGTTTTTAATGATTATTGTTCATAGTGTAAAGTTTTGGCTTTAAAAATTAGGAGGCTGCAGTGCTTAAGTACATTTTCATGGTTATACTATGGAAGTGAAATGTGTAAAAATATTTTTGACTTACTTATGTTCACGGCAGAAAGAAAAGTCAGTAACATGGATACAACCAGCACCACATTTCATGTAATCTGGAAGTAGATCCAACTATTGCAACTTACTGCCTCTTACAGTTTCTAGACACAGCCTGTTCTAAATAAACTGTTTTTGCAGAATTGTAAACTTTAACACTAGTTTATATTGGTATAGGAGACTCTGGCCACATCTTCACCGGGAATCATCTTTGTGTTTCCAGCACTGTCCTGAAAATCAGTATTGCCACACCCCACTGCTATCAATATTCACTGCAAACTTCTCTCCCCGAAGTGAGAAAATATCTTCTGTTCTTTTCATCTTGCCTCACACTCCCCTTCAAGAACGAGATGTAAACTATCTTTGATACACTAAAACCAGGATTCAGTTTTACTAATTAGCTCATCCTGAAGTATATGTTCTGATCCAAAACTTGACAGATTAAGAAGATAGATAAACATTTATATCTCCAGAAATATCACTACTCTACTGGTGCAATTGAAAAACTTTTGTTACCATATAGAGTAGCTTGTTTGGTGAAAAATACTGGTTTGAGGCAGAGAAAATGTGAAATTTGTCCTTTTAGTAGTAGGCTACTGTTGGCAAAGAATAACATGCCAGTTGTCTCAAAGAAAACCTGATGATCTGTTCCACTGGTTTGTTATAGGCTGAAGACAAGGAGCAATGCTCTGTTCTCCTATTGTAAAGTGTCATTGCTGCTCATAACTAGTCTCCGTTACAAAAGTGTTGTGCTTGCTATCCTTTTGTCTTGGGCTACAACTTGCACCTGCCTTGCCTGAGCGTCTAAGACACTTTCTGTTCCCTTTCTGTTCTCTAACCCTCACAGATGTGAGGGTGTTTCTATTACCTAGTTGAGAGTGCCAGTGAAGACAGATCCCCCACTCCAGACAGAGCGTGGTATTGCCCATACACTTCTCTTTCCTTCTCGTTCAAGTGGCTTTAAAACCTCAAACTTTGAGCAGGTAGTAAAGGATGGGTTGATTATGGTTTTCTGTTTGCTAGCCAGCACGCCTTGGTAGTATGAGGGAGGTAACTGTGGTTTACTTCTGATAAAAGCCATCAGCAATTCATTGCTTCCACAGAGCAAGAAGCAGCAGGGAGAGACCTGTATTTAAGAGAATCTATGGGATACTGCAGCATCCTCAGTATGATCCGTCTCACAAATTATTCTTGTTTGGGGCAGAAGCAAATTTGTTAATTTTCTATAGGAACAACTAGGCAGATTGTTTCTGTAAACTGTCTTCTGATACCAGAGGGGCTTTAGCACCTGAGCTGTGGAACTGCTTCAGTATGTGTTTAAACACATCAGTTCTAGAGTTTTTAATTAAGTTATTATAGGAAGTGAAATTCAGTGACTGGGAACAAAGTCTTGAGATAGAATTTGACCCTGTCATTCTACATTTTTGTGTAAGCATTTTGTTTACTTTTTTGAGGAGTTGTATAGGAATAGTAAGGGAGAGAGAATGATTTCAAAAACCTATTGCATCCAGTGATAACAAACACATTTTATAGTATGTTCCTGGAATTTGCTCCATTAATTCTCAAAGCCTTCTTTGTAATTTCCTTTCATATATGAAAAAGGCCACCTTCTACATCCAGTCCATTCACTATATGTCTGGTAAGATAAACTATCTGCTTTTATTTTATTTGCTTTGGGACAAACTAAGAATTTCATTTTTTTAGTTTTTTAATTATGCACTGGGAAGCTCCCACAAATTTACTTCTGACCCAAATTGCAATGTTATTTTTTTTTGTTCAGCCACTGAGCCAATGTGTCCTTTATTCTCATGATTGTTGACAGCAAATGTCATGATGTTGCTCAAATTAATTTCACAACTTTCTTTTCCTTTTATTTGCTCAATTTATACACCTAATTGAGTATAATTAAGGTATTCAGAGATTTTCCTTTGAGGAAGGACATAATATATAACATTACAAAAAAAAACGAAAACAAAAACAAAATCCCAACCAAGAACCAAAACAAAAGACACAAAAAAACCCACACAAAAAATAAAAATTAAAAGTTGTTCATCCTTTTGAAACAAGTTCCCAAGCAGAATTGCTCAGAGCAGTGGTGAGCCGAGCTGCTCTCACTGGGTTCAGTTAACTACACTCAGACTCATGTTCCATCATTGTAGCAGTTCTCCAGAAGACTTGGGGAGACCCTGATGTAGGCCTTTTTATTGTGGGTGTTGCCAAGGTTTAAAGGCCTTCATATGTATCAATGGTTACAATTGTGCCCTGGTCTTCGAGACATAAAGAACAAGTTCTCAGCTTGTATACAAGGGATTAGTGTTGTTCTTGCTGTACATATATGGAGGAGCTGGCCTATAATGTTAAAGAAACAAGACAAGTTTTTTCGTGGTTACTTTTAGGTAGAACAGAAATCCTGTGGGGCATATCATCATCTTCATTGTTCCAGCTGTCTGACTCAGACTGCTGACTCTCTCTTCTGCAGCCTTCACATTCTGCATCTTTCTGTGACCTGTAAAACAGCATTAGTAGAATGGTCTTACAGAAGTGGCAGAAGCTCTGATAATCTGAACCATACAAAGGTTTTGGTTTTCATCTATTTTTCGTCACTTCTACCTCTCTTGAGCAACTATTTTCAAGAATTAGTGTGAACTCTGAAGAACATAAGTTCAAGGAGTAATAACATTTTGTCTGGAGTAGTGTTTACAAATACAGCTAGTGAAAACCACTATTATCTGTATGTGGTATTTTATTTTTTCAAAGAGATAAGAACATGCTTTGTATAAAAAGCTGCCCCCAAAATGATTGAAAGTAAGGTTTGTCACAGCTATAGACAATTTTTCATATATGACATTTTCCAGCATTTCATAGCTGAATAGGCTTTGCTTGCTACTGTTTCCTAAAGAATTTAGAAAATTTTAGAGTACTTAAGTATGTTTTAGGTAGAAGATATACCTGCAGTCCAGAATATAACTGTAATATGTGCAGAATGGGTCAAATATTCCTGTAATGGCTAACTCCAGTACCCTCAGATCTAACATTGAACTATGGTACTAGGCATATCACAGTCTTACAGTCTCCTATTCTATGTATGGTCATAATACATAATGTTAGAAATAGTAAAAGGTACACTTAAGAGGGAGAATAAGATGATAAGTAGCAGCTTTGCAAATATCAGTAACCATTGCAAGCCATGCATGATCAAGTTATACAAAGTTTTGCAGGTTGAAAATAGAAATACCAGAAAATACAGGTAGTAAAATGATTCCGATTATAAACAGGGACCAGAAAACCATCCTATTTGCAAAACAACCAGAAAAGATACTTGTTATCCCTCTATATGATAAGATAACTTTGTATTAGCCATAGATGTGTTTATGCATCGGGTACACAGAGCAACATAATTTAATAGTAATCACACCTCCTTACCTGGTATATCACAAGATAACGTTATATTAGCAATGAAATCACAGAAAGTGACACTGAGCCTATGTTCACATGGATGTTCTCACTTGCACATGCTCTCAAAGCTTCTTTCAAACTTCATCTTTGCAAGCAGGTAAATTAAGGAAGATTTTAATCCTTAATTGATTGGCCAAGTACTACTCTTATAAAATTTTAAGTTTAAACGTAAACATTTAGTCCTTTTTTTCCATTTATGTGAGTTATAAGGGGTAAAGAAGATAATCATATTTCCTATATTCTGCATCACTGTAACAGATAAAACTGCCCATACCTTATCAACACTCCATATTCTTTGATTTCCCATAGTAGTGTAGATTTAAAACTTGAAGTAAAATTCTTCTCTTCTTGTACTATATACAAGTCAACATATACAAGTCTGGAAGTCAACATCTGTATGACTACAGCCACAGTAGCACAGGGTCCAGCCCAGGCTGCAAGACCTGCTTTGAACACTTAGTAAAACCCACGGAGACCCTGCCTACACCAATGCCATAGTGCTACCTCTGTTCTTCTCTCTCCTCCTCAGCCAGAAAGACTAAAGCTAGCTTAGGCATGTCTGCATGAGCTATTACACGTAGAAGCTTCCACTTCATTTGTCTTAGTAGTTATGTGGGAGCTGTTTAGCAGCTCTTACTGCAGATGGAGCTGCATTCCAGTAGAACTGTATTTCTATCATTTGGGACACATGAGTGCATTTGCATACCACATTAGAACAGATCTGGAAATATCAGAATAAATTATCCATACTATTTATTTTAATAGTTTTACTGCATTTTAAGGGCTTACCTGTGTGAAATGTTACTGATTATACCTTTATAGTCTTGTCCAGCAAGCTGACCTTGCAGAGCGGAATTGTGTGTACTTTCTGGGTCCTGCAGGTTTAAAATAAGAAAAAAGCTATGAAAAATCAGTACACAGAAACATCAAGAATATAGTTACTTTCATTGACGTTCTTTCTTCTATCTGACAAAAATGTGTCCTTCACTCAAGAAGGAAAAGGAAAATACAATAGTTTCCACTTGCAGAAGAAAGTATGTAACTTTGATTCAGCATTGCAGTATGTACTAGGAGTAAAAAGCCACCTCAGCTGTATTTGTGACTTTCATAATCATATAGTCTTCAGACATCTCTACAACTTAGTAAGCGTGACTAAACTTTGAAAAGGTTCATGTTAGTTGTATCCTCTGTGATCTTGTAAGGAAAGCGCAATCACAGGATTCACGAGTCACATTCTACTCTTCACCTCTCAGCTCTTGACAGCAAAAAGCACCAGTGTCTGAGATGGAATTGTTGGTAATAATTTCCTTTTTTAATCCCAGATACAACGATGCCAGCTGGTAGAAGCAGGGTGCAGCTGCTTTACTGAAGAAACACTCAACTAACAGAGAAGACAGACCTTTGATGACCCTCCATGTGCAATAGAAGCAACAGTATTGCTGGCTGGTTTTCCCTCCTAGAGAATGATACCGACTCCTGCATTTCAATAATGGTGCAGGACATCTGCTGTTAGTATGTGGAAGTGGCTCCTTCTCAGTTGTAACACTTGATAGATCATTATTTAAATTTTAGTTCAGAGTAGTGTTTCTTCTCCTTTCCCCACTCAATATTCCAAATGCACCTGGAAACCATCCTGGCATGTTACAGAGTGTAAACTACTGAATGCCCCACAGAATCTTAATGGTAGCTGCCACTTTTACCTTATTTTCTTACTTTTGTGCTTGTATTTTCCCATTAGAATTGGGGAATTCAGGGCTACCTATTTAACCATGAATTCATTTACCCAGTTTCTGCATCTGCTGACTACACTGATCGGAGAATGCTGTATGATTGTTTTCTATTTAACAAGGAAAGGTGTTATACTACTGCTTTTTTTGCATATGTTTTTTTCAGTAGCTTGTCATTTTCAAAGTCTACATCTTTGGAGTAGATGGCAGCTGTGCTCTATAAGGTAAAGTATAAATAGTTTCTATTCATAGGAGACAGCTAAAGGCAAACTGGAAATAATACAGAGAGTGTTAATGGAAACAATTCAGCAAAAAAATTTAGTATGTGCTTAAAGTTAGACATGTGCTGTGCTGAACTAGACAGACTTAACCACATACTTAAAACTAAATTTGCACCTTAATACCTTGATAACTTAGGGAACTAATAAGGAACCTGTAACCTTAGTACTATCTCTTACTTGCCCTTGGTATTATTTTTTGGGTGTACTTTGTCAGATCATAGACATGACCTTGTTTTGATATTACATTTCACCAATCTCTAACAGTTTAGTTCCAACACTCATTCCAACAGTGTACTTAAAACTTCCTCAAACAAATTCCTCTTCAAAGTTTTCTCAGCTTATTCACATTAAGAATTTCTTCCATTTTTCTTTTTCTAGTTTGATCATGTTGGTTGAGGCAGGGTTTGTTTTTTTCATTTGTTCTGAAGGATAAGAAGACCTATATTTCTCACATTTGCTGAAGAAAAGTTTACAGTTTTAAACTTAGAAATAATAGGTGCTGTAAAATTTGATGTGGAATGTCTTGCAGGACTTAGTAAGATTCAAAAACATAACCATGTTTTTGAAGAACACTTTGAAGAAGTTTAGGTGCCTTCAAGTTATGAATATTAATAGAAAACAGTTGAATAGAAATCTTTTAAAGTATATTGTTTTAAAATACTAAAGGAATGGTAAAATTAATAAATCATTAATTCCAATATTATAATTACATATGCAATCTTCCTTCTCCCTGCCCTTTAAGCATATATATTATGCTTCTCATATGCTCTTATCTCAGAGGAATCCCCTGACTCATTCAAGCATTAGCAGTTCCAGTCATTGCAGCACACTTCCCTCACATTAATCTTTTTTCATTAAGAAGGTGTGGTTCTTGCCTGCATTGCAGCAAACCCACTTTGTAAACAAACATATGAGTACATTGCCTGATAACTTCTAGAAGCCTGATTTGGGTTTTACCTTGCTGCACATGTGGTTGCATTCTTCTTCCTGGAAAGTGAAAACAGGCTGAGCTCGAAGGCTTCCCTCAGCATTGTCTGAATACCAGAAAACAAAATCAAAATAAAATGCCTATAAAGCATGAAAATATGGATCTTCTTCTGTGCCACCCACACCAGAGGACTTTGATCTTGGAAGAGGCACTGAGATACAGTACCAGAAACTGGCATGAAATATCCCTTTCATGGAGGCTCTGAGGGGGTTAGTACAGCACAAATGCCATGTATCAGTACTGAAGAAGCCAGCATAATTCAAGTTGCCAGAAGATACACTGAAGTAGACCCTGGATCAATAAAAAAAGCTGAAGTAGGATTTAAGTCTGCTCTCCCTAACCCAGCCCATTCCTTTGCAGTGCTGAGGGACAAATGCCATAGATTAACTTTGATGCCAGTGCCTTCTGTAATACCATTGGGTTTTCCTGGTCCATGCAAACAGTTTAAACCTTCCAGCAACTGTGTAATTCACCAATGCCATGTAAGATGCAAATAAATGTCCCCACGGCTAGTTCCTTGAATTTGCAGAGCTGGAGAAAAGGCTAGTCTCACTGAAGTGGATGGAAATGCTTCTACAGCCCTTAATAGAGCAAGAGCTTCAATCAGCCTTTTTATAATTGGCCGTCCTTCCATTTTTTTTGCATCATTAACTCCCAAAATTAAATGAGACTAGAAATAGGGCAATGAACATCCTCCTTCCAGGCCAGTACTGAGCATAGCTTTCTCATCTTTATGGAAAAGTTTTGCTCTTGAAACACGTGGGTAGCTTCCAGAAAGTGAAGGAGTGTCCAATGCTTATGACACAGGCTAGGAGATTAAGACAATTAGGTTCAGTCTACTAGATACTGAAACAATTGAGATCCTTGAACCCTAAAGGCAGCTGCTGCTTAACAGCAGAATTGCCTGAAATTCCTATGCAGATAAGTTTGCATCAGTAAAGCTGACTAGATGCATAAATGTTTGCTGTAAAATACATCCAAAACCCACAGTCAGCTCTGCATCTCTTCCTAGTCAGCTGGGGAGAAAGCAAATAGCAATGGCAGCAGCTTCTTGCCTGAGAAGATTTGAAACAAGCCTCCAATTTGTAACCAGCAGGCCAGAAGGTATATTAAGAAGGAATTCTGTATTCTTCCCATTGAAGTTTCTCCACGTTATAGGAAACATTTCAGTGTTCAAAGAAATAGTAAGTTGAGGAATATAAACTGATAATCTATTGGCAGTAATATACCCTTGCTTCTATTCCCAGCTTTAATTAGTATTTAAATATTGAGTATTCAGTAGAGCAGAGCCTGCAGCACAAGTTTCTTCCATTTGAATGAGTCAGCTCTCTAAGTACTGTCCTATGCAGGTGAGCGTGCTCTCAAATTAATAGCAATCAACCTGCGAGCAGGGGCTTCTGAATTTGAACATGAACAAGCACAGAAGGGAGAGTGCTGTCTGCCAGGCAGAACAGGAGGTGTAGCACTTCCAAGAGATAAAGTAGGAGTGCTGGGACGTGAAATTTATGGGGAATGTATTTTAGCAGCTGGGTCAATAATTTGCTGTCATTCCATCAGTGAGTTGTGTAAAATTGGATAAAATCAGACCAGGAACCTTCATGACTTAAAAAAATAAGCTCAGTTAGAGCATCTTTGAGGGTCTTGCAGCTTTGCTTCCACTATTCCTAGACTTAAAAATCACACCTGGGCATTCCTTCCCTGTGGTCCTGTGTCTTGAGTAGCTTAGCCAGAGCTGCAGATCAGGGTGAAGAATGTGTTTGTATCTACAGCTATGAATCAGGGCTAACTGTAAAGTTAGTAATATTGAATTGTTTTGCTAATAGGAAAGTTGAACTTGGACAGCACATAATCCTACTTTTATTGTGTACTGGGTGGATGTGGCTGCTTACCAGGCTCTGCCTTTTTGTCTGGGGGGGAAGGCATGCTGTTGCTGTGATTGCCTGAATAAGCCCAATGCAAAGCCATGCTTCGACAAACAGTGAGTTGAACAGTGCCTCGAGCCTTGCGCAGCAAATCTATAACTGTTTGACGTGGCAGACCAGACACAAAAGTCTCATTCACCTGAAAAATACAATGATATGTAGATATGTACTTCCAGATTCCTGTAACAGAAAGCTTTTTTTAATCACATATCCCAGCACTGAGCAATCTTTAGATAACTTCTTTGCACTTCATGTGTCCTCATCCCGTCCTATTTTAGTAATGTGCTTGATTCTCTTCCTCTACTTCTTTATACTATGGTTGCCCACAGTACAACACAAAAGTATAGTTTGCATTTCTTCTGAGACATTAAGAGGGCATTGTTTCTCCCACTCTTCAGATGGAAGATGGAGGAGAGATGGAAGTAAATGGAAAAACAGAAAAGCAAGCAAAAATATTGAAGCTCCTGGAGAGGGAAGAAAACATAATCTGGGGTAAAAAAAAAAAAAAAAAAAGAACGTGAGATTTAAAAAAAATATTCAAAAACTCTAATTCCAGTGCTTTTTGTTTGTCTTGATACTGGTGCTGATGATAGGTTCCTCTCAGTATCCTCCTGAGCTATAGCTATTACATGCACACTTGGTCAGTTAACTCTTGTTTCTCTGATTTTTTTCATGTGTAATCCTCACTGGGTACAGTCACACTATGGAGCGGTTGCACTTTGCCGCTTACCCTGCTATACTGGGTCTGCTTCCCTGCTGGAGTGCCCAGCAGCCACCTTCCAGCTGTAAAGGGGCCCAGTCCCACAGGAAGCTGAGCTCTAGGCAAGAGGTATGGGGGCCAGAACTGCCCTCTGACACCCAGGAGCTGAGGGACACCATCTTCTATGTGTTACTGTATCAAGCAGCCTCAGATTTCCAATCCATACAAGCTCTATACTGAACAGAATGCTCATTATAGAGTAACTAGAGAAAATGTAGGCCAAAACAACGAAGAACAAGCATTACCTTAAGTAGGATGTCACCAACTTGAAGCCTTCCATCTAGATCTGCAATGCTGTCTGGGCTGATGGCTTTTATTAGGATAGCCCTGCCATTTCTTCCACCTACCAGTGCAAATCCTAGGCTTCCATTTTCTGCTTTTTCCAGCTCAATCTTAATAATGAAGTCCTACAATAGAAAGAGATACAGTTTAAAGTGGAGTTTATTCAGAGCTGTGGTTTTTTTGCATATTTAATACCAAAGAATCCCATTATGCTTCACAGTTCTTACTGGCTAATGTAGATAATGGGATATATCCTCCTCTTGAATAGGTATATAAAGCTTCCAGGGTTTAATATGATAGCTGTGTGTATGTATCAGAATGAAAATAGTACATACTTATTTCCATAATATTTTTTAATGATTGCTGGAGGGAAGAAAAACCTCTTAAGAGCAAGGAAACATATACTTTTATAATCCTTTTATACTATATCAAACACATCACCTTCATTGACAAGCAAGTAATTTTTTTCTCCAGAAATGACAGTAATGCAGTACACACTCCATTCTTTTATTGTTCTATAATGAAAATCTTAACCTTGCAACCCCAACATACCCATCGGTTTGGCTTTAGCACTACATTCAGTTTTACAATCAGCTGCTTTTTTAGGGTCAAGTATTATGTCACAAATAGGAGCAACTTAGAAATGTTTGACTTGCAGCATGACTAGTTCCAATGTTGCAAATATCATCCTCAGAAATTATTTTAGCAAGTTGAACAGATAAACCATCATGGATTAAATGGTGCGGAAGAAGCAGTAATAGTGATGACTTAAAAGTGAGAAAATTGTTCCAATTTTTCTGCCAGGTTGGAGGTCTAATTTTAACAAGAGATAGCCCTTTTTTTGCAAGCCACAATCAAGAGAAAACTAGTAAATCTATTCCCATTAAATATTGGTCCCAATGTGGGTAATGTAAATTCCAAGTAACGTTATTTTCCACATGTTTGCACAAACAGAAGTGATGTTTGCACTTTGAAGAATTTTGAAGCATTGCATGTTGAGCATGGAAATTACTTCTTTTCTTAATTCTATGTTCTTTTTTTCAAAGAATGTAGCTGTGTATTTTAGGAATTTGTCATTTCAAAAATGGCATTACTCTTGCCAAATTCAAACCGTTATGTTTTATGTCAGTGCTGCATAATAGTCCAAAGATTTGGAGTAATTTTACCCTCTTTTTGAATGCCCTATGGGAGAATTTCAGAACAAAACATATTAATCTCAGGTTTCAAAGATTATTGTGAAAAGTGCTTCACAATTACAATTACACTTATTTTCCCCAGAATCCCAGCATCCCATGCTGTGACATTCTGTATCTTTTTCCTGTATTAGTTTCTTTTGAAGCTAAGGATTAATCTTGTGAGCTGTTAAAAGTACTATGAAGACCTAATGGAGGCGCTACACCGTGTGAGTTGTGCTTGTATTACCATGCTGGTAAAATAGTGATATTATACATTGAAAAACAGTGATAGAAGAATCTCACAGACAGTGCTCAGTGCATTCTAGTTGATGAATACTGATGCAATTCAACACTTCACAGGACACTCTCCAAATGCATTATATTCATGTTTTGAAAGAAACTGGAGATAAAGCAAATATATTAACTAGCACTATTGAAAAAATCTCACTCCATATGGCTCGCTTTACTAGATGGACTGTCTCACGCTTGATAAAATTGTCACTTACCTTACATTCTGGAGAATCAGGAGTGTTTTGCTGAGCACCACAGTTTGCTTCTTCCAAATGTTTCTCTGTGAAAAAGCAGCAAAAGTTTTTACAGAGTTGTACTGGTAAAATGTTCTGTAGTAGAACACTCAATATCATATTCAGAGAGATAACAAAACATTTTATATTTGACATGTAAAATATAAAAAGAGTCCTGTGGGCTTATGTGGGCTTACCCTCCTGAACTGTGAACTGAGCCTTCTGTGCATTATCCCTGTAGACTTTTTACCTCCCAGTGAGCAGGTTCCAAAACAAGCTTTAAAAAGTGCATGTTACAGGGTCAGAGACACCAGATGGACAACAGCTAATGTATAAATGTTCTTTGAAACTCTGAGGCAGGCAGTTTTGTTTATGAAGAATTAATCTTTCCCAGATGCTGCCAGTACTGTCTACAGAATTGTTTTCTTTCAAAGAAAGGGCACAAAATTTTACAAACCCTAAATGAAAAATATAAAGGTCCTTACCTTGTTGATGCAACAGATGCTGTTCTTGGGAATTTGAGTTTTCATTTGAGAAAGAAATATTGGCTTTCTCTGTCTCAGCAGGTGGCCCTAAAAGCATAGATGTAGGTTTGGTCTGACAGGCCTCCTGCTAACCTTCATATACACAAGGGAATGTAAACTCTGTGCTTAGATGATTAAACAAAACATCAATTACCCAATATACATACTATATGAGACAGTTTGAGACACTTACTACTGCATGATTAAGTTTGCCAATTTGCACAGTGATATAAACAATTCTGTCATGAATTGCAGAAATATTGCATCTCAGTCATTGCTATTTTTAAAATTGGAACAACAATCAGAGATCAGACTGAATCATTCTAGACATGTGGCAATGATCAGGCAGAGGAAGAAGCAGGGTGTGTTAGTGTCTCCAGAGATGGATTTGTAAGAAGACAATGTGCATTTCTTGACACTCCCACCTCTACCCACTCCCACCTCTACCCACCCCCTGCCCCAATTTTGGCATTTATCATATCTTAGTGATCTTAATTGTCTTCCACAAAGTACTCTAAATGTATAGATTATAGAAAACATCGAGTGTTCTGTTGTTTAAAAAAACCCAAAAGCTCCCTGTTGCATTTGCAGTTTTTAGTATGCATTTTTGTAACTAAGAGTCTATAAAATGAAGGCTTGCTTCCTTAATAGCGTATTGTCATAGATTTGTCTATATATCTATCAGAGATGATACCAAACAGAACACCAAATAGCAAATTATTATAGATTTTTTAAAGTGTCTTGTAAAAGGGAAGAATCTTGTTTTATAAGATAGACAGGTAACTAACTGTACCATTGTAGAGTTCATAAATCTATATTGGAGGTGAATCAGGTCTGGTAACGTATTTTAAAGATGTCTTGAGAAATCTTGGAATCTGCAAAGCTCATGGAGCAAGGATGTGTAAGCAAGGTCCTACCAGGATATGCATTTACCATGCTTTAGATATACCACAGTAACTGAGAGTACACATAACTTTGTGTCTTGTAGTAAATTCAAAGAAGCTTGTTCTTCGGTAAGTGAAATAGCTGCTTCAGTTTATAAGAACAAACACATGTTTAGTCGTTGTAGAGTAGGAAATCTGTAACTAGCTTAACTTGAAATAATTTCTTCAGGTAGCCATATGCCAATATTCAGATGAGTGTAGGCATATGAGAAATTCTGGTCCAGGGTTACTTTTTCAGGTCATCTTTGCATGATTAAAAAAATTAGATATCCAGTCAGGTAAACAAAACTTTGAGTTAGGCCTGACTTGACACTCCAGCCAAATATATGCTGGAAAGTATTACTTAGGTAGCTAATGTGCCTTCTGCGCAGTGACGTAGATGTGATACTTGTCTTTCCACCTGATGGTGCAGGTGCAACCTCTGCTTGCTGAGAGTCCTTCTACTGCTAGAGAAATTCTGCTTAAGTCTGTGTATTGCAGATGATTACTGAAGTTTTGTGTCAGTTATAGTATTAAATATCGTCCCCTGATAGGAACGGTCTTATATTAACTAAGGGATATTGGTGCTGCCTGTTTCTGATTTTCTATAGATTTATTGACACCAGTTTAAAAAGTTGGTCAAGATGACGAAGTAGTGACTCTTCTTAAATAGTGGCTCAAAAAGTGCTGGAAGACCCCTTAGAGAATAGTTTCAATCAAAACAGATGTTGAAATATGACCATGTAAAATTCCCATTTTATAACAATAAATCAACAAAATAGAAACTATGCAAAATCACAGAATCACAGAATGTTAGGGATTGGAAGGGACCTCAAAGGATCATCTAGCCCAATCCCCCAATGCAATAAATATTTTTTTTTATAGAGAACTATACATTTTATTTCTATCTTTAGAGAGCTATCAAATTTTCTTCAGACCTTTAGAATAGCCATAACAGAAATAATGAATGCCAAGTTACAATCTGTTAATAATTTTTTAAATGCAATGAACCAATATCTTATGCTTATTTCCAAAATCAGAAGCAAGTTTTGAACTAAAAAATCAGAAATATTAGCCTTACTTACTATTTTCCTGTTCTATAGGAACCACTGGATTACCATTTCTGGGGACAGAAAAAGTGAAATATGTGAACCATCAAGAGCTGCATGCTTTGTAAAGCACATATGAAAAATATTTTTAGAAAGTCAATTGGCTAAATTTTAGTTGTACTTCGGTGATTTTGTTAATGGTGCTTTCCTAAAAAGTATATATCAGTATATAAAATATTTGACTGTATTTAACAACAGTGAAACACATTATTTAGATGGATGGGGAAAAAAAGAACATGTTAAACCGTTTGTACAAAACTACTTTGTGGTACATTTTGAATTCATCTTTGATTCTCCCCTCTATAAAGTGGGAATGATCTTTCACAATTTCCTTTACCCTATTCCTGTTTGTTTCCTTAGATTGTAAATTCTTACAGTCAGGGTGCGTTGCCTACTACGTGCTTGTACAGCAAGAAGTATAATGAGGCTGCAGTTTCTTCATCTTCATTTCAGACATACTATTGCTAACTCTGCTTGTATAACTTAGTTATTCACATACTTTTAGATTACTATTTGACTGTTCCTCTGAGATTTTTGGAACATATTTCTGTATCAGTTCAGGACCTCTGCTGATGTTCTATCAGGCTGTACAATACAATAAATCTAAAGTGTGGCCAAGAACTGATGAGGGAAATTCTTAACTTGCTGCAGATTAAATGCTGCATTTTTAACAGCTTTCTAAAACATCTGGCTGTTGGAAGTAACTCAGAGTTTCCCATCAGAGGTAGTTTCTTGCCTGCAGTTGTGAGTCTGAGTGTGTATGGAGAAGACTGGCATTAGTGGTGGAAATACAAACATTTTCCTTGGAGAACAGGTATCTAAAAATGGTGGCCACAGTTAAAGGACTCATATTTGTATTTGGATGATGAAGTTTGAAGAGTTCTCATTTGTGTTGTACGAGTCTACTTGTACTCACTGTGTTAGTTGTAATTACAAGGAGTTAAGATATCTTATGGATGTTATGTATCAGGTGGCAACCTTAAAACCTCCGAGGTGAAGCATTTTTCTTGTAGTTTGTCTTGTTTTTATTGTTTGACTTACTGATGTAAAATTTTAAAAACTGCTTTAACATTAGGATTGAGATTGAGTATGCTGAGATTTTCCTTGTCAGCTCAGATTTACCTCGTGGCTTTGATTTGGACGTTCTGGGTGGCAGCTTCACATACTCTCACAGCATCATCCAGGCTAATTCCCTCAGTCCACAGTCCACAGATGTAAACAATTTGATCTCGTGGCTGCAAACTGCCTTCCACACTGGCAGGAGAGCCAGGCACTATCTCTAGCACATAAATACCTTGTAACTTGCTTCCAGCTCCTCCTGTCAGCTTCAAGCCTAGAAAAAGGCAGAGAAAGCATCTTTTGTGGCAGCATGTTCTGAATTTCACTGTCAGTGACATACAGCCTAACGGAATAGATGTGGGTCATTGAAAGATAAGCTCAACAAATCACCAACATTATAAGCAACAGTCTTGTCCCAATGAGATGGGGTATAAGAGGTGCACTGGGAGAGTGAGATGCAATTAAGTGTTAAAATATATGGAAAAAAACTTAAATGATATTGTCCATCACTTGGCTTCAGATATTCCATAGTGCTTTATTTCACCTGATGTTGAATAGTCATTTGAATAAGACATTTAGCTGCCTAACTGTAACTCCTTCATTACCAGAATGCTTAAGTACCTTGCAAACTTTAGAGCAACATAGGAGACGGAGACATATAACATCTAAGGAGATACCTATACAGTGCAAAACAGAATTGTGCAACGATATTCAAGCAATCTCCAAGCAAGCTAATTTCTGAACTGGAAACAGGATGTTGTACCTGAGCAAATACAGCTATACTGTTTCCTGGGTCTACAGGTTTGTCTGTGTGCAGTTCTCACCACATTCTGCAGAAATACCAAGATATCCACTGTGGGGATTTCTTTTATCAGTTGTATTGCACAGTGTAGATAGAGCCTTATGTCTGTGGTGAGTCAAGGATTTGAGTGGAGGTTTTCTGAATAGCAAATTATTACCCTAATCAGTGGCTCATCCTTCTTAAACTTTGCCTTTTTTTTTTCTTTCACTCCAAATAGGTCTTTATGTATCTCAGCCAGTAGTAGACATTATTACATAACCACCAACAACTTCTGTATATCTATAACATAAAAATATGAGACCCGACAACCACCAGAAACTTCAGCTGATAGGGTGATAATACAAAGATAATTTTTCCAACTATCTTCATTGGTCTAATAAAGAGATATTAGTCTTCTTTTTAAGGCCTTGCCCAAAATAAAGCTCTCCCTTCCTTGGTCATGAGTGATGGAGGAGAGCACAAAGGTGTTAAGGTCACTCAGAATCATGTTAATCCAAGACCATAGTTGCCTATGATTATCTTAACATTGCTGTAATCCCTGTCCAAAATAGTATCGTAGTATTTACTACACACCTAGCTGTCCATTGGCACCCTTTGTGAGCGTAATTTCGGGAATCTCTTCTGGCCTAATAGAGGGACACGGACCACTGTCAGCACGACCAACCACAAGGTGCAGATCAGGAGGAGAGCTTTGCAGTAAAGTCAGGGCTTCATTGCATGGTAAAGACGTGACATCAATTCCATTCACCTAAATGACAAACCAGTAAAATGATGTCATAGATCTCTTTGACCATCATGTACTTCTCCCTCCACTCTAAATTTTGCATATGAACTTAAATTAGTTTTCACTTTCATGTTACCGCTTTGCTGTGGCATTTAATATCAGTGAATACAACTGTTCAGATTGCTATAAGTTTTCTTTTTTGAACTTTTATTTTTCTGAATGTAGAGTTTCATAAAAATAGTTCTTTTTTTCTTGAAACTCAAGGGCTTCTAGCAAAAAACAAGGAAGACAACCTAATGCAAGAAACTGAAAATGAACCAGGCTGAAAACAGGCTTTATTCATATATTACACAGGATATAACTCCCACATCCTTTGTATGTCACCTATCTTACTACATTAATTCAGTTTGTCATTTAATTGAAAAGATATTTAATGTCTCATTGTCTTACATTGCTGCTAGATGATTCATATTATTTGCCTGGTCATACAATCTATTCTGTCTGAAATTTGTCCTACCAAGGTCAGCAGAGTTGCATTTATTATAAGATCCATTTGCGCTTCCATGCCTAAATATGTGATAAACTGGACTCTACAAAAGGAAGAATACCAAAGCTGAATGACATTGATCCGCAAATATTTTCTCCTCTGTATAAATTCAAAGGATTACTGTACCATAATGATTCTGTCTCCCCTTCTTAGTCTTCCATCAGACAGGGCAGGCTCATTCAAGATTTCATCAACATACAGGCAGTTGTCCACTTTGTTAAGAACTACAGAGAATCCATAACCATCGTTCTCTGACTTTGTCAAAGTCACAAAGATCTCCATTTCCTATTAAAATAAGCACAAAATATGTTTGATGTAGGTTTTTGTGTTGCTTCATTAATATCTTCCATTATGTTTTAGATGCAGATAGAAATCAGATCCTCAGATGGCATAAATAAGAGCATACACAAGGGTTTCTCTGATGTGTTACTGCCTTATTCCAGAATTAATTTTACTTCTTTTTACCTAGTGGAGCTTCATGGTGACTGATTGATAGGGCCTAATAAGGCAGAGAATGCCATCAAGGACTAGAATTTTGGCATTTGAAATGTGTGAAGAAAGGCTTGGAGTCCTCTGAGCTGACAAGCATTGCAACAGTAGGGTGCAGAGACTATCATTGTTATTGCCATTGCTGTCCCACTGAAGAAAATGGCTGGACCTAAATTTTGTTCTCAGTGCTCTAAAACTAGCAGAAATTCAGAGCTCATTAGTGTCAGC